GCGTGTCAGCATTTTGGAAAACCCTAACTTAACTCTGGTGCCGTGTCACATATAGAAATTTTTTGATATTTGCAACCATAGTAAAACAAAGACTTATATTTTTGATATTTATTTTATATATTTAAATGCCATTTAACAAAGAAAAATCAACCAAAAAAATGAGTTCGCGTGTCACCTCTGACACGTGTGTCATAGGTTCGCCATCACTGATCTACACTAATAAAAGAGAAACATGCAAATTGGTGTCACTCTGCTATGCCCACCAGCCAATCAGATGAGTATGCAAATTAACCCAACAAAGATGGCGGTTAATTTGCATATGCAGGCACAGAGTGAAGACTGAAGACTGAAGAGGCTTGGCTTCTCCGCTGCAGCTGGACCAAGGCCTGGGTCCCGGGTGCAGGAGGAAAACCAGTGCCGGCAGCCAGGGGAAGGAAGGCCTACTGCGCGAATCTTAGTGCAACGGGCTTCTAGTGTAGCATAATTGAACAGATCCGAACTTAACCCAGTCACACCATTTGAAAGTTGTATGGCCTTAGATATATCATTTGATTTTGCATTTTTCAGATTCCCCAGGGGAAAAGAAGAAATACGAAGGGCTCCCTCATATGGGAGGTTGTGGGGGTTAAAAAGGAGATGACATTTCTCACCTAAAATCTTGCCCAAAGATGGGCATTCCATAAAGGCAGAGGTTGGTCAACCTTCCCCCCATCCCCACCTTTGCTTCTCTTTGAATGAGTCTATATGCTACCCTCATAACCTCTCATTTTTGAAGGTTATGCTCATAAACTGTCCTTTCCTCGCATCTGAAGGCATCTATATGCTGCCCTCATAACCTCTCATTTTTGAAGGTCTTCATGCTCATAAACTGTCCTTTCCTCGCATCTGAAGGCATCCTGCCTCCCTGGACTGTTAGAGTGACCCTACAGCCCCTCAGCTGCCTGTTTCTATATCCAACAGCTGGATTCTTCAGTCTTCCTCCTTTCCCCCTCAGTCTCTCCTGCTTCACTTATAAAGTAGCCAGATGAAATGGCATGTGGCTAGAAGCGCTTTCCTCAGCAAGACAGCGTTCCCTCTGGACCATGTGCAGCCATCTGAATGGAGTCCTCACAGACCACAACTGAGTGCCACAGAGGGGCTCTCCCAGCAACCACTCAGCTGCTTCCTCTTTGGGGCCCAGGATCTGTGCTCCCCAAATGAAGATCCTTTTGACTTCAAAAAATTAGAATAACACCTATTTCAAATATATTATTTGATGAAAGCAGATGTCAGCAGATACTGCCTATGTAATTGATATTTGATTTATTCAAGATTTATGCATGCTGTGCCTTAGATTTATTAATGATAATCCCCGGCTCTTGTGTTTAATATAGTGGAACCAAAACATAATTTGCTGGGATCAGTCAGAAATGCATCAAAGTGATTAACTCTACATGCAAACCATTATCCAGTGACATCCCTACTGTGCACAGTGCAAAAGGAGGCAATAATACAGTAATTGGCTTCACTTATGCAAGTTAGATATTTGCCGTGATTGCTAGTAAAATGTGGTCCCTTTTATCTCTGATTCTGCATCTCCATCCTTTGATGCTCCCTTTGCAGGCAACCTTCTCCTGAACTGAGCAGGTGTGCACACACGCATACACAGCATCCCACCCCAGCAATTATGTGTTAAGGAAGGTGCGGAGTCTTCTTGCTAAAACAGACCGGAGGGTAACTGTCCTTTTCAGGAGGCCCCTGGTGGGGCACCAACTCTGGTGGGGATGAGGGACCACCGCTCGCTCCCAGGGAAATGCTAGCAAATGAAAATCATATCCCAGCAATACTCTTTATCCACACCTGTCACCTATATCAATACCCACACAGGCTGAACACCATTGCCATCTTGGAGTAGACACTTGCCCTTATGCAAACAATCACTAAGATACCTTTTTTTTTGGGGGGGGGGATGCCTATTCATTTATGTTTTTTTCTGTTTTGTTTTGTTTTGTTTCAGCGAATTAAAACTTAATTGGATGAACAATCCTTTATTATAAGACTACTAGAGGCCCGGTGCACAAAAATTTGTGCACTCGGGGCGGGGGAGAGGGGGGTCCCTCAGCCCGGCCTTTGCCCTCTCGCAGTCTGGGACCCCTCAGGAGATAAAGACCTGCTGGCTTAGGCCCGATCCCGGGTGGCAGAGGGCAGGCCCAATCCCTAGGTGCAGCCCCTGGTCGGGCTCAGAGCAGGGCCGATTGGGGAGTTGGGGTGCCGCCCCCTGTCATGCACAGAGCAGGGCGGATGGATATGCTGATTAGCCAATGGGAAGGGTAGCGGTCGTACACCAATTACCATGTTTCTCTTTTATTAGTGTAGATTAGAGGCCCAATGCACGAAATTTGTGCAAGGGGCTCAGCCCTTGCAGCTGTGGCAGCTGCCCTCTGCCCTTGCAACCCCAGCTTCGTCCGGAAGGTGGTTCGGCTGTCTGGTCTAATTAACATATTACGCTTTTATTATTATAGATGTCCTTCCCCCCTTTTTTGTTTTAAAATGTTTTTCTCTTATGAGTTGTTGATAATAGAAGATGAGAGTAGTTTTGATTTTAAAAGTTTGAAAGTATAAATAATACTCACATGTGGCAAAATATTCAAAGTCTACAAAATGTGTGAAGTAGACTCTGTTCTATCCTCTAGCTTTAGTCCCTCTCCCCAGAGGTAAGCACTGTTCTAGCTTTCAGTGCAGCCTTCCTGAAAATGCAAACAGTATACCTACACTTATATGCACCAGATGGTTTTCATTTAATACTGTATTTCAGAGATGTCTCCCTGTTTGCACCAGGAGAGCTACCTGACAGCTTCTGTTGCTACCTGTCACTGTTTTTAATTGTATAAGATGCTGCCTGGTCTGGAGATGATTTCTATTTGAAATCATTTACAAATTCCAGCCTGGGAACTGGGTCCACATAGAACGAAGTAGCATCTTGTGAGGACTTACAGCAAGATGGAAACAGGAATGCATCCCATGTGCTGATAGGGGAGGGCATTTATGACTCCTGTGTCTACCAGGTTTATATCGGGGTTTTAGTGCACTCAGTAATACAGTGGTTACACCATCTACCTTCATGGATCTAACGTGATTCAAAACTAAATTCTT